GAATCCCAGCAAACCTGCACTGTAGTTCTACTAAAGTTCAGGCTGATTTCTGGCTGTGAGAATAGAACCTGATTTGTTCAGCCTGTAATACTATGTACACCTGCTGCTGGCTTGGTTTGCTCCCTGACCTCCTGCCAACTTGGAATCAGCAACCCCACCCTCACACTGGGAGCTGTCAGGTGGAGCCATCCTACAGCTGTTCTGAGCTCAAGCTCAGTTGGCCCCTCTCCAAGATGGCTACCAACCAGTCACCTTTTCCTAGGATGTGACTGAACCCAAGCAACTCAGCAGCTACTACAGTCCACTGTGTTCACTGCTCTGTTTCATTGGTGCATTTCTCTGTGAAGCTCACTGCAGTCTCCAGTAGTGACTATGGGTCTGCAAATTTGAGCTACTTCTCCCATGCGGTCAGATTTTAGAGAGAAAATACCTCCTTCTTCTGTATTGAAGTCTCTCTCTATGGGCTTTAATTCTCACTTTACATTCTTCCTGGGTCCTAGGGACTCTGTTCCCTCCTTGCCTTCATTTTTTTTTTTTTTTTTTTAGACAGGGTCTTACTATGCAGTTTGGGCTGGCTTGTGTTCACTTTTGTAGCCCCCAGGCTGGTCTCGAAGAGGCTTTGTCTCAACCTCCAAAATGCTGGGATTACAGGTGTGCACCACCATACCCAGTTCTGGGCTTCATGGTGTGGGTCCACATCCGGGGCCAAGACCGCATGGCATGTGGTGCCGGGGATTGAATTTGGGTCCTTGCGCTTGCCAGGTAGTAGCATATGCTGTCTCCCTGGCTGCTTCTTCATGTTTCTATATTCCTTGGTCTGGATACCAGTTCTTAGCAAGGCTCTTTTTCTGCTTCTCATTACTATCCTCTAGGCTTGTAACACAATACTGGCTTTTTTCCCCATCAGTTTTTTTAATATTTATTTATTTGTGTGTGTGTGTGTGTGTGTGTGTGTGTGTGTGTGTGTATGGCCAGTTCAGCCCACCAGGGGGCGGGGCTGGGGGGCGGGGCTGGCTGGCATGTGGTGCTGGGGGATTGAACCACAGTCCCTGTGCTTTGCTTAGCTTAGCTTGTTCTAAGTAGGTGCTTTAGACCACTGAGCCATCTCACCAGCCCTTCCTATCAGTTTTAAAATGTAATTTTTAAATTAATTCAGATAAGTTACTTATTAACTGCATTTATGATTTGAATTTTGAGTAACAAATCTATAATATATCAAGCTTTAAAAATTTAATGTGAACTCAGTATTGTAGTGCACTCCTATAATCCCAGCACTCAAAAGACTGATTCAGGAGGATTATTGTAAGTCTCAGGCCAGCCTTGGCTATAAATTGAGTTCAAGGCCAATTTGAACTATATAGCAAGACTATCTAAAAAAAAAAAAAAAAAAAAGTTTAATGGTATCACAGCATGAAATGCATTCAGTCAACAGCTTTAAAAATCTGGGCAAAGTGGTACACCTATAATACCAGCCCTTTGGGACGCTAAGGCAGGAGGATCGCAAGTTGAATCCCACTGGGCAGTTTAGTGGTGTAGCATCCCACTGGGCAGTTTAGTGGTGTAGCAAAAGCCTGTCTCAAAATAAAAGTAAAGGCCCTAAATTCAATCTCCAGTACCTCAAAATTTTTTCTTTTTAATGTATTTAGTACATGGTCTTACTATATAGCTTGGGCTTGTAGTGATGATCCTCCTGTTTTCAGCCTCCCCAAGTGCTGGGATTACAGGTATGTGCCACCACACCCAGCCTAGGTGGCTGGCTCAGGGTGCCTGGGGCAGGGCTGGTGGAGCCTGTGATACACGGGATCGAACCCTGGTCCCTACCTACACTTGCCTAAGCAAACACTTAGTCTGCTGAGCTATCTTGCCGGCCCTCAAAAAGTTTTTCTTTGAAAATAAATCAATACTATATATTATTTACATTTTTTTAGAAAGTTGTGGTAAGATACATATTTCATTAAACTTGCCATCTTTATACTTTTTAGGTGTATATATAGTTCCCTCGTGTAAGTACTTTTGCATGGCTTTGTAGCCAGGTTTCACAGCTTGCAAAACTGAAATATACTACAAAACAATTCTCCTTTAATTCTTGCCATAGCACCTAGCAGCCAAGCTTCTACACTGTCTTCTGCAGTTGTGTACTCTAGAAATGTCATTTAAGGGAGTAATACAGGGACTGTGTCTTTCTGACTAGTGGTTTCACTTAGCATTGTATCTTCAAGGTTTCTCTGTATTAAAATGTAACATAATACTACATTTATCAGAATTTCTTGATTTTGAGGTTGACTGTATTTCCATTGTGTGTAAATACATTGTATTTATTCATCCGTTGAGAGACACTTAAGTTGCTTCTATGCTTCTGGTGTAAATAATGCTCCAGTGAACATGAGCATATCAATATCTCCTCATTCAATTCTTTCTACTTTCAATTCTTTTTTTTTTAAATTTTTTAAATTTTTTTTATATTTGTCCAACCCATCTCCAACTTACTTTATTTTTAATTTTATTTATTTATGTGTGTGTGTGTGTGTGTGTGTGTGTGGCCAGCTCAGCCCACCAGGGGGCGGGGCTGGCTGGCATGTGGTGCTG